TGGAAGGTTGCTATGACAACAGCAGATGTTTAATGTGATGGGCTGCAAAGCTGTTGTCTGATTGACTTTTTGAAGTGAATAAGCTGATGCAGGAATCAGTGCAACTGATGATGAACACATCAATGAGTTTCTCTAGATGTTCAAATGTTCAGGAGATGGAAGACCGACTTTGTAATTCTCTTTATGTGTCTCTGAATGTCAAAATATGTCAGTATTTTGGTGCTAAGCTGTTCAGTGATTCATAAACTGAGGTTTTTTTAAAGTCTGTTCTCTGAGCAGAACCCACTGTAAGAACTTTAAGACTCGGGTTTTAGTCAGGACAACAGCAGCAGCGAGACCTGGAAGACACTGTTGCAGTAATCAGCGCGACTAATGATAAACTCATGGATGAGTTTCTCTAGATCTTCCTGGGATGTTAGTCCTTTAGAAATGTTCTTCAGGTGACGGAAGCCCGACTTTGTAACTGACTTTATGTCACCCTGAAGGTCAAAATATGGCAGTATTTTGATGAAAAACCAAATATTTCAAATATTTCTGATCTCTCTGAAGCTGGATGCTGACTGACTCAGGAGGATGTAGATATTAAATCCATGTCTGTCTTCTTTCAGCATGTTGCGGTCTGCTGTCAGGGTTAACTCGTCTGGATGGTTCAGTACTTTGAACAACAGAACAGCTCATTTCAGATTCTTTCAGTGAACCCCATTCATGTTCCCTTGTTTATGAGATTTTTGTTTCTTTTTCGTGGTTTCGGGCTGACGGGACACACCCATCACTTCCCCCACGTCTGCCGGTGACATCTGTCTCGCTCCTCAGACCTCCTTAAATTCCTGACCAGACGCACCTAAAGATGATCCGATTCCTAAATGAGTCCTCAGACCGGAGGAGCTTTGGGTTTCTTCAGAGAAATGGACCTGACAGAGCTGCTGTTTGTCTTCTTCACACTGATCTGACTAACCAGGGGATGAACAAACCCCCACATGTTTTGCTGCCCCAGGGGGCCCCCCGCTGACCCGCCTCCCAAAACACTGAAAGAAGAAACGAAAGAGGACAAAAACAGAAAGAGAGGCCTCACTGTCCCACTATGCCTCTTTTTCGTCTTTCTTCCTTTCTTTCTTTCTTTCTTTCTTTCTCCAGAGTTGTCTTTCTGCTGCCTGCAACATTTGAATAATCATTTGATATCCATCAGTTTGAGCCTGAGGAGACACAAAAAGGCCAACAACCTCACAATCAAAACACACAAGGATTTTTGCCTTTTCATCATCAAAAACAATCTTATGGTCCCGGACTTGGATCTGTTGCTCAAACTGAGACTCACAAGATTTAAAAAAAGTTAATAAATGCCTCAGGATCCATGTGATCTATAAACAGGAGACATCAGATTACAAAATGGCAGCTTTGTTTATAATCACGGTGAAATCTTTGTTGAACTAATCATCAAAACAGGGAAAAATATTCGCAAACAGCCTAAGTGAAAGGTTAAGTTATTAAATATTGTAATGTAGCTTTAACTTTTAAAAAATAGGTTTATTTTGGCTTTATTAATCACACACTTTATAATTTTTCTATCCAGTTTTTACCAACAATTGGATGATGAAAGTCTTCAGTCTGGTGAATTTATCTCAACCAGACCCTTTTTTTCAAAGGATAATTTTGCTTAGAGATTTCATAATTAATTTTATTTGTTGTTTCTGTTGTTTTTTGTTTCATTTATTTGGGATATTTAAAATTTCTTCTATTTCCAGTGTTAAATGTTTATTCAAATTTAAAGTTTATTGATCTCTGAGAATTACACCATTAAAATAGTCTCAAAACAATATTATCGTTTATCGCGATAAATTCTGGGACAATTTATCATCCAGCAAAATTTGTTGTCATGACAGGCCTATATAAACATTATAAATGTGTTTTTCGTAGAATAATTGTATATTATATTCACAGAGTGAGACTAAAAGTTCCAGTAATATAGTTTTGATCAGTTTTTTGGTCATTTGGTTGAAAACATGAAATTACTTGAAAATGGTCTCAAAACAACAATATTATCGTTTATTGCGATAACTTTTGGGACAATTTATCATCCAACAATATTTGTTTAAAATACTCAATTTCTTTCTATAAGTCAAGAGTTTTTAAAAATAAACGCATCTTGATTAATATTTGATGTTATTAAAGTTCAGATTAACCAGATTTATCTCTGGCCGTTCTGACACATGAAAATAATCTTAAATATAACAAATTTGTTCTTCTTGTCACAAACAGATTCAAAATGCTGACCAACCTGTAAGATGTCATGAAGCCAGAACAATTAGGCCGTTGTTCCCTCCGTATGAAGTCGTATGACGTAACCTTTTTTCCCAGCAGGGCAATCAGGTTATTCTTGTGAACTACCACCATCGTCGTGTCGTCATTGTCTCAGTCCCTCATGTCACGACTGAAAGGAATCAAAACACTGTTGGACCGTCTCTGTGGTGGTACCAACGTCTCTGTGGCGGCAGTTCAGGATTCAGAACGTAAACAGACGATATTTGAGACGTTAGGCGTCTTTAAGTTCCCATCTGGACCGAAAAGTAACCGTTTTATGATCTCCTCTAACGGCTGTACATGTAGACTAAACAACAATTTGTGATTTTTCAGGCTTATTTATTCAACTTAATTTAGGTAAAATTAACCTTTAGTTAGTCTTTCATAAACTTCTAAGTGAATCTTCATGGCAAATTTTCAGAAATTTCACACCTCAGTTAGGTTTATACTTAGGTGTACGGTACGGGATAGTACGGTTCGCTACACTATTTTTAGTCATAATTTCACCATGTGATTCATTCATTTAATAATACCTCAGTTTCAAACTAAATATCTAGTTAACAAGCTAAATGTTTAGCTTTAAAGTAAATATTCAGCTTGCAGGCTAATTATTTAAACAACTAAATAAAAGGGTTCTGAGTGAAGAAGAGTGAATGCAAAAAGCATGCCACACTTTTCAGAAACAATCGATGTTCATCACTTTTTTTCATAAACTGTGTTGTTAAAATAAAAAGTATCAGTTTTGCAACTTTCAACAGGCTAAATGTGTCTAGAGAAACTCATTTTCAATTCATAATCTTGGATTATTTTCATTTTAAATCAGTATTTGTGTAATTTTGGGGTCATAACTGTAAATATTTATATCCAAATCCAGCATGTCTAAATGACAGAGCCCTGATTCTGGCTTAATGAACAACTTACTGTCTGGAAACCTGCCCTCACCGTCGGCATAACCACGAATTTATGAGTACAGACTAATGAATGGCTGAATAAAATCTGCTTTAATGTACAGCGTGTTGTTTTGAGCAGCAGTAAAATCCAATCGGCCGTAGCTCTGTTGGAGCCAAACAAACCCTCCCTGTGTGCCAGCGGTCTACCTGCGGACGGTGTTGTAAAGCTCGCACACATTAACAGGCTTTATGGAGTGTTGAGAAAGCTCCTTAACAACCAGCATATTCAACACGAAGACACGCCCTCCCAGCGATTCAGACAGAGACGGCCTTTCAGACCACAGCCCTCCTCAGCGGAGAGACGCTACCTGCCGATTTTATCAGACAGAGCAGAGAAAAGACGAGTCAGATAAGGGGAAGAAAGGAGGAAGAGCGTCACGGCTGCACACAAACGACAACAGCGTGGAGCTGAAATCCCACTGATGTCAGCCTGTTTTGACTCTAAAAAGCAAAACGTTCATCTCTTTCTGGTGTTTACCGGTCAATAAAGGTGAAGTCACATCAGATTCCTGACATGCAGAGCATTTCATTCTGGTTTCACTGGCGGCAGGGGCGATGCTTTGGTAAGAAGGGCCCCGGGCTCCAACAGGGAAAAAGGCCCCTCTGTAGATTTCATAACACTTTCTGTTATCAATCATTGTTCTGCATCTTTATAGCTTTGAGCTCCTGTTGTTCTGACATTACTGTGATCTTCATATTACAGTGTGTTGCATCGCATCCCATTTAATGTTTTTTAAAATCACCTTATTTTATATTTCTGACATCAGATTTAATGCAGGTAAATGTGTATGGACATTTTAGATTATACAACTTATAAATATCAGTGCTTGTATTTGACTATATATATTGGTAGGGCTGGAAAATAAATCAATAACAATACATATCACAATAGACACATCATCAATATCAGTAGATAAACGTCTGATAAAAAATAGAGTATTCACTGAACTTTGATCCAGAACCGCACAGCATTCTGGGGGATGTAGGTAGAAGAAAGGCTTTAGCCAGCTAAGGTAGGTTTGTGTCTTCAGCTAACTCACTCGCTCTTTGGTTGCCTAGCAACAACCTGCGGGGTTACAAGCATTTCTGTAAAAAAAAAAAAGTCAAGTCAATAATTATTGATATTGACTGATATGAAATGATTATATTGTGATACGTTTTTCAGCCAAGTCGTATATCGATTCCCAACGACGCAAAGCTAAAAAAGATGTAAAATGTGACATCTGTGTGAGAAAAAAACAGGTTTTGTTTAATTTTAGAGTCATGTTAAATCCTGTTTCTCTATTCCATGTTTGTTCGTTCGGCCCTTCCTGCTCTCTTTCCTGTTTTCTCTCCGTGTTTCCAGTCATTTCTGCTCAGTCTTGTTTCTCATTTAGGTGTGTGTCGACTCTTTGAAGGAGCCGTATTTTTATTTTCTGGCTCCAGGCCAACCCGACGATCCTCACAAAGATGGAAAAGTTAACAGTGGTGTTGGTTGTGGAGCCGAAATGTTTTTGCACGTGACGTTGGCTGAATGGCCTCAGTGTTTCAACACAGCCAGCTTTAATAATTCATGAGTCATTTGCTCTGTTTATATGTCTGATTTATGTTTTTGTTTGCTTTCAGACGGTTTTTAGCATAATTTTAACCTCAAATTCAGGCTTATTTGTTTATATTTTATGATGTTTTGAATATTAATCACTAATCTCCAGCAGTTTTTAACAATCAGGTGTAAAAATAGTTTAATAATCCTGTTTTTTTGTTTTTCTGCAGTGATCTCAGCATGAATAATCTGACTATGATGACCAGTGGAGCTTTGTCCAACCTGCACTTCTTAGAGGAACTGTGAGTAAATTTAACAAACATTCACTGCCTGCACAAATAATCCCACTTTATCTGTCATTAATAGACATTTTAATATGAAAATGTATTATTTAAGCACGTTTAACTTGCCTAAAGTGATTCTGTTACATTTCTATTCCAATTTTTCATGTTTTTTCTAAATTTATTATTTATCATCTCAGGTTCCTTCCGTCCAATCATAAATCCATTCTGACAGATTATATTTACCAATTAGTTCATTAAGTTATGTTAATTATTCAAATTATTTTAAAGATAGTAGTGTCTAAACTTTTTAACATGGCCAAAAATGTCATGTTGATCCTGTTTGTTTTTCTTTTTTAAAAACTATAATAGAAAAAATATTTTTTTTTATTTTTACCTGCTCAACAATAAACAAAATAATTTTAGATCTCAAACATAAAAATGCTATTGCAGGCTTCCCAGATCAAACAAAAAACAGCAAACCTTAAATTAATCCTTAAGTTTTTCAGGTTGATCATCTTTTTCTGGATTTTATGTGGATTTTAAGCAACAAAAACCAGACGTGGCTCATTCTTGCTTTATTTTGGATGTTTTTGTCCCTTTTCTTTATTAAAATAAATTAAATTCAAAGCAAAAACCTGGATGAAAACTTTGTGATTTACCTTTATATTATTCCATTTTAAGATTTTGCATCTAATGTTGTTTTTAAATGTGAATCTGCATCCAACTGCCTGGCAAACCAAATTTAATCTGTTATTGAAATGTGATCAACGGCCTCCTAAAATCATTCTGAGAGCCACAAATGGCCCCTGGGCCGTACTTTGGACACCCCCTGACCTAAAGAAACCCAGTAGATTTCATCAAGGGTTTGATTTGCAGCATCAACCAGTGGGGGTGACAGTGGAGAAGAAAAACTTCCCTTAAATGTCCAGCAGAACCAGGTTTTTTATTCTTTTGAAACAGTTTAATAGATTATTTTTCAATATATTTATTATTTAGTCATATTTTCTACAATAAAGTCAGAATAATTTGTCTTTATTCTAGAAATATTATGACTTTATCCTCATTTTATTATTATTATTAATTTATTCTCAAAGTATTATGATTTTTCTTATAGTATGAGGAGTTTATTGCTGTAATGTTTTGAGTTTACTGTCATATTATTGTGACTTTATCCTTGTAATTTTGGTTTTTTCTTAGTGTGGCCCTAATCCTCTGTTTTCTACTCATTTGTTGTGATTTTATTTGGTCAGAATGAACCTTTTTTATGACCATTTTAGTTGTAATTTGTTTTCAGCCTCTGTGTTGCTTTTCATGTATTTCCATGTGTTGGTGGTTGGTTGCTCTTATTTGATGCCAGTTTCACCACCCGACTCTCTTTCTGTTCCTCAGTTTATGTGTTTGTGTTTATTTTTGTCTCTGTAATGTGTTGTACGCTTGTTATACTGTAATTTTCTCTCTATTTCAAGTTATTTTCTGTCTATTTTTACTCAGTTAGATTTCTGGGTTAAAAATCTTTTTTTAGCCACTGCAGGGCTAAAAAAATAATTTACTAGAAAAAATTGGTCAGCTATAAAACAGAGGTTCGGATCAGATGTTATCTGGATAGCAGTGGTAAATATTAGTTTTTTGTAATTCTGCACACTCTGTGTTGTGTTGTGTGATCAGATCTGATGTGTGGTCAGTGCCTGGCGGGCTGAGATGGATTATGTCTGAAGTTTGGGTGTCTGAGCAGGCGAGGAGCTCGAATATCTTGGAGGATGCGATATGTAATCTCATCTCTCCTCACCTCCCAGCAGCGCTGCGTCGCGTACGAACGTTTTCCCGACCGGACTAAATTAAAAAGCAGCGAGGCAGCTGGGAGAGACGGCCTGACCTCACCGAGACCTGAACATGACTCTGGCCGCTGTTCTGCTCCGCTGCCAGCTGTGTGTGTGTGATATTTGTCGCCGCGGCGTCAGAAACGTCACGGCGGCGATAGGACACCACAGGCACGCAGGGAGGCTGAACCCTGAGTGGCCTCTGGAAAACAAACAGACCTGGAGGATTCGTTTTCCCGCCGGGTTTTTACTCCGCAGGGCTTGGAAGTCGAGACTCGCCGAGAGATTCTTGCACACTTTGCAAACACAGAAATTAGAACCTGGCTCAAAGTCAGAGCTCCTAACGATGTGGTGCCTTGCTTAAGTATTTATACCCTTGAACTGTTTCACATTTTCTCACATTCCAACCACAAACGGCAAACCAGCATAGACTGGGGCAGAATAGTGAAAGGAAAGAAAGAGACTCGAGTTACTGCAGTAAATATGTTGTATTTACATGGATGGATGAACAAATGGTTGGATGAATCATTGGTTGGATGTTCTGATGTAAAACTCCATCATTCTGATCATCCAGTGATTCTTTTGGTTTTTCAGTATTTTGTAAACCCTGAAGCTTCAGTTTCTCTTTCTATAATAAATCTCCATTGATCTTCTCTTTATTTTTCTCTTTATGATATAAAATGATAAACATTTATAGAAAATCTTACCAAAGTCATCAGAATCTCTTTTTGTCTCTCAGACGTTTGGCAGGAAACGATCTGTCCTTCATCCCCAGAGGAGCGTTCAGCGGCCTCTACAACCTCAAAGTGCTGTAAGCTCCCAGATGTTTGCACTGCGACTCTTCTGATTACTGCAAATATTTACAAGTCCAATAATATGATATTATTTTGCTTTTACAGTATGCTACAGAACAACCAGCTGAGATCAGTTCCTGCTGAAGCATTCACCAACCTTCACAACCTGCAGTCTCTGTAAGATAAATTCTAATTTAATCCTTTAAAAAGTGAGTCAGATGCCAATACATTATGTTTTTTCTTTGATAACAAGTTTGTACATTATGCTATGTGATGGTTTGATTAAGAGATATTATTTCCTGGAAACTTTTTAATGTTTATGCCTCGGGTCGAATTGGTATGATATCCTATGCTACGCTATACTGTTTATATTTTATTTATTTATTTTCAAACGGGTTTTTAAAAACAATGAAACAAGTAATGAGTACAAGAATCAGTTCTGTTTGAAAAGAAGCATGCTATGCTATGCAATCCTATGCTATGCAATGCTATGATATGCTATGCTGTGCTATGTCACACTAAGATGTTACTTGGAAAAAAATATTTGAATTACCAGACAAAAATGGTTAACAAATATTAAAATTTACCTCTAAATTCTTCTATTAAGAGATTCAAAGACCTGATTTAGTATATAATGAAGCTAACTGTATAAAAGAAAATCAAAAACACTTTTCAATATTTTCTGAGATTACATTGCAGATTAATCTGAAAGATGGAATAGAATAGAAAGAATAGAAGTGCAATTTCAAATTCAAAAGTACTTTATTAATCCTAAAGGGAAATTAAATGTTTTTTAAACGTATATTATAGTAATAAGTTAAGCATTTATTTTAAAATAATTGAATTATTGTCCCATAATGAGAAAATTCAGGTGTAACAGCAGCAAAATGACAATCGAGGCTTTTAGGTTCACACAGATAATAAAAAGTCAAAATTAAGAGTAATTTTACAGTTCTTTGTAGATATTAGAAAACTAAAAAACATTGATTCAAAAAGAGATCCATTACTGATTAAAGTTCAAAACAATGAGTTAAAAATAGCCATAATTTTATATTTTTTCAGAGGATACAATCCTTATATCACCTATAATTGACACTATTGGTAATATCTGAAAATATGGAAATGTATTTTATTTTGTTTTAATCTTAAGTGTTAAACTTAGACTACATAACGCTGTTTTATTTGCAAAACAAACTAGCCATTAGCTAGCTGTGACGTCACATTGAGCCGACGTTATTTATCAAGGCAACTGTACATTTTTATAGAAAACATTTCTGGCAACAAAATCACATTTAATGAGACAAAAAAAAGAATGTAGCACCACTTTCGAACTGAGTCTAAAACATAAATTACTGAATAAAATTAAGCAATTTTCACAGATTTGGCTCTTTGGTTCTCGAATCGAGCAAACGGAAAGGTTGAGTTGGTAAGTCGCTTCCGGTTTGAGCGTCATCGTGATGGCCGCCATAGTGAACGGGCTCCCGAGGAATCCTAAGAACACCTAACCCCATTAAAACGATCCAAACTTAGCAGAGGTGAAAAAGGACTGGGGTGAGCGAAATACACCAAAGTGATGCTTCGACGTGCCAAAAAGGTAGGAGATTAAAATACCGCTAGCATCTCGGCTAATGCTAACCGCTACTCATTACGAACCTGCGCTTTGAAGAGCTGTTGCGTTTTGTGACTTCAGCCAAGCAACCAACTTTGGAAATATGTCCGAATTGGCGGCTTAGTAAATATTTGTCTTATCTTTATCTTGTTCCTTTTATTTTAATGAATTTATGAATTGTCTGTCTGAAATATTTTGGGTAAGCCGACAGCTTTGATGCTCCCTAGTGGTCGCCTGTTTCACTCACTCACACACACACACTCATCCTGTCTCATTTTACTCTGTTGGAATGGATTCCCCCCCCCCCAACACACACACACACACACACACATGCGATAACGTATGTAGTCCAGTCCAGACAGTGTGTACTCTCAGCCTGATGATACACAGTAATTATACTGAAACTGTAGCCGTGTGTGTTCAAATAGGGGGTTTAAGAATGGAGATGTCTTTAGGACTAAGGTCTCTAATTTATCTGATGGACGATTATGTGAAGTCCCATCCTTCTCCTCTCTTTGTGGCCGAACAGAGGAGTCATTGTTAGGATGGACACTCAGACAGACACAATGCGCTCCACATGTTTCTGCAGGTCGGCCTAATGAAAGCCCTGCTGGGTTTATATAAACCTAAGAGACAGAACCGGATTAATAAAGAAAAGCACATAATTCTTAACCATAATTCATTCACTGACATTATTATTTATAAAATTAAAGCTGCAGCACCTTCACCTAAATTTAAACACTTGCTTTTGAGTTCTTAACCCCACTAGCGACAAAGAGCTATTTTAAGCAATAAAACATTTTAAAAATAAATTAAAATTTACTCTTTCTTACCGATCTAATTTAGCCTTTTCCTGTAAATAACTGAAATGTAAAGGGAAAAACAACAAAATTTTACCATATATTATGACGGACTAATATTTTTTTCATTGTAGGTAAAAAAAGAGTAAATTTTTATCCAAAAAATGCAAAAATTTCAGAGATTAATCTCAGACATTTTGTACAAAAATCTTTTGAAAAGTAAAATATTTTTGACTTCTGAAAAAACTTGGAAATTTCCAAATGTTGAACATTTTTGACTTTTGAAACTCAAAACGTGATATGTATGTTTCTCAATGATTTCTGAGATACTTAAAATTATTTTTTTTCTAGAAAATCTTCAACTGTTGGACAATTCCAAGTTTTTTGTAGAAATTTTTTTTAAGATTAAACTCAAAAATCTTTAGATTTTTTTGTGAAAGTGTTACTATTTTTTATTTATAATGGCACTAATATGTAGGTTAAAGCATTTTTTGCAGCGTTTTTCTGTTATATTTGTTTTTGAGTTTTTTGTTTGTTCTTTTTCATCTTTCATGTTTGAAGCACATTTTGCACTTTCCTTTGTATTTGCACCTGTCAGCCTCTGTGAAAAGCAGATCATTCTTTCAGGCTAAATACATTTTATTTTTCAGATGTCTAAACTTTAGCTAAAATATAAAGAAATTCAAAACTAAATGGATACGTAAAATTTCCAGAATTTCTGAATTTCTTTGCCTTGTCCAGCAATAATGCTACAAAAACAATTAGAAAAATCTCTAAAGGAAGAAAAGAGTTGAGGATAATTATTTAGAGTTTGTAAATTTATATTTTCGTTTGTGTTCCTGCTGAATACGTTTCTCCTTAAACACTCTGAGCAGTCAGTGTGAGCTAATTAAAATGCTTTAGTTGGACCGGAGAGGCTGCTGACTGGTGAAGAGGCTCTCGAACCAGCTGCCGATCATTCCTCTCATGGTCAAACACTTGATGCCTAATTTTCCTCTTAAACTACTTCAAATTTAGCAAAGCTTTTTATTTCGTGGACACAGACCTCTTCTAGCAGGGCTTGAAAAGGTTTTCTGTTTGTTTGTGACACCACTTTAAATGACGCCTCTTGTTTGACTTTGGACTTGAAAAGAAAAGTTATGATAATCACAGGAAACACAACAACATAAAACTACTCAGACACTTTCAGAAAGACTTATGAGGAACAAAATAAGAAGTCTCCTAATTCCTTTTATGTTGTTTGTTTTTCGTAGCCGGCTGGATGCGAATCACATCTCCGGCGTTCCGCCTGGCTGTTTCTTCGGTCTGCGCTCGCTTCGCCACCTCTGGCTGGATGACAACGCTCTGACAGAGGTGCCAGTGAAGGCTCTTGGAGAGCTGCCGACCCTGCAGGCAATGACGCTCGCCCTCAACCACATCGCCCACATCCCTGACCACGCGTTCAGCAAGCTGGGCCGCCTGGTGGTGCTGTACGTACAGAAAGAGAATTAAAAATGTAATGTTTTATTTTGCAGCCTGTGGTTGCAGCTGCTTTCAGAGTAATACTGGACATTGCAATACATCTTCTGTTTTTCTTTCATGTTAAATATAGAGTTACATTTTCTCCAAAGTTAATAATATGCATTTTAATGGTGGCCCAGAAGGACAAAATGCAAAAACCACAATGCTACAACAAAGCTATGCTAGCAAATGTATCATAACTTATATTTCATGTTAAAACAAAATGTTTGTTAAAGGACGTTACATTAGCAGGTTTGTCATGACTCAAGTTTTATGCCAATACAACATTTTTGTCAAAGACGATTGTGCTAAAAAGTTGCTCATCACTTGCACTTTATGCTAAAACAAAATTTTAGCATAAATTGAGCTACACTAGCAAATTTATCATAAGTTCTGTTTTATCACAAAACAGAACAATTATACATTTTGTCATATGGAATTGATGCGAAAATGAAATGTATGTTAAATAGAAGTTGTCTTACAACAGAATCTAATCTACGTATTAGCGTTAGCTGAAGCTAAGATGGAACTTATGCCAAAGAAAAGTTATGCTAGCAAGTTTGTCATAACTTACGTTTTATGTTTTGTTATAAATGAAGCTCTATGTTGGCAAGATTTTAATAACTAAAGTTTTATGCTAAAACAAAATGTCATAAAGTTCTGCTAGAAAGTCTATTATAGCTTAAGTTTTATGCTTAAGCAAATTGTTACGCAAAATGGAATTTATGTTAAATGTAAGTTATGCTAAAACAGACTACATGTTTTAGCATAACTTACATTTTTAGCTAATGCTAAAGTGGAACCTACGCCAAAACACAAGTTATGCTAGCAAGTTTAGCATAAATTATGTTTCAGCATCACTTGCATTTAATAGTTTTTCCTTCCACTCAACCTTTTAAAGAAAATGCTTTGATGCAGCACTATGTGACTGAAGAATGTCAGTGGCCGAACAAATGTTATCCCCATGATTCTTTAGGACATAATGGCACATTTCTCTTATTAAAGTATGTTTTATTTTACAGTGCTGCTTTAATGCACTAATTTCTGCAAAATGCAAAATAAATGGCTGAAATATTTTACATTTTGTAAAGAATCTATGTAATCTATGACTAAATTCTTAATGTTATCCTGATGGAGACCTATAAAATCTTAAACTATTCAGCATTTCATTGGTTTTTGGTTTTAATCTAGTTGTCATGTTCTATATTGATGTAAATCAAATATAAATATCTGTGTTATGTTGTTGATCCGCGCTGTCCCTGTCTGTCCATGTTGGCTCTTTAATAACATGCAAACTCCCCGTTTGTGTCCGTGTGATGGCATTCAGTGCGGCGTCATTGAAGTCCGCTGTCATTCCTTTTGTCCAATCGGCTTGAAGCTAATTTGCATTAAATTACCTAAAGGGGAAAAAAAGCCTTCTTGAGAGGCCTCAGGGCCCCTTTTAAAAAGACACATACACACTCTTTGTCCGCTTCATTAGTCCATCAGTTTCTCTCGCTCTCTCCGCAGGCATCTCAACAACAATAGGATCGTTTCCATGGGCAACAACTGCTTCCACGGACTCCACAGTCTGGAGACGCTGTGAGTTTCTGTCTGTGCGTTTTGTTTCTGATGACGAGTTCCAGCAGAAAGGTTAAGTCGGGGTCATGGAGGCAGATTTTTGTTCTGAAACAAGGTTTTCTCCAGGTTCATGTCCGACCCAGGGAGCCTTTCTGAACAGATTCACTTTGAACTGGTCAGAAAACATCAGCATGAAGCGCTAACTCTGCTAATCTTGTTCTAAATTAAGAGTTAATTTAATTTTCTGATAACATTCCGACAGTGAAAGACTAAAACACAGATATCTGACTGAATTGCAGCAATTTTTAAAATTTATTTTATATATTAAGTAAAAAGTCCAAAAAGTGATTCGTTTGCAGGAAAAAAACATTAATTTTCTCTGATTAGACATTCATTTATGATATTAAAGGTAAGACATTCTCAGATTTTGTCAGAAAAATCTCTTAAATCTTAATGGAAAGATTAGATATTCACCAAATTACAAATAACAGACTGAAGATGTTGCTATATCACAGGACATTACAATGTCAGAATGTCTTTTTATGCCTTTAATCATGGAAAAATTCTTTATTCTTTCTTGAAAATTTACATAAGTTTTTTTTCTTGTGACTGTATGAAATTAACCTAGAAATTTATTTATTTATTTTTCTGAAATTGACTCCATGGCCACATTGGGCCGAATGTGCTGTGGTAGAATTCAGCTTTACCCAAATTTGAAAATCAGGGTTTAAAAATACAAAAATTGACATTAAACCCAGAAAAAGTGAATGAAAAATTCAGTATCTACAATCAAGAACAGATGAACTCTGTCTGAATTTAAAACAACTGGAGGTGAAAAGTACCTAATAATTTATTTACAACATAATAAAGTGTAAATTAGATAAAATGTCTGGTTCTGTTTCTTTTTGTTTCGGATTTTAAAAGTTTCCTTACATCTCCTCAAATATTATCATTTCACCAGAACTATGATTCAAATCCCAATCAAAAGAAAAGTTATTTGTTCGCATCTCTGCTTTATATTTAGCATTAAAAATCTTTTAGTGAGTGAGCTGTTGCATTAAATGGTCAAAAATAATAAACAGTTTCATGATTTTTATGAAGATAAACAATATTCAATAATTTGAAAATTCTGAAATTATAACTGATTTCTTTGGGGGAATATTGAGGTTTTTGGCTAGTTAACATATTTAGCCAGCAATAAAACAGTTCATACTAATAAATTTGCATTATTAAAATATTTTTTTCTTACTGGAAAGGGCACCAAAACCGTCTCCAGCCCACATCTTTGTAAATCCATCATTTTTACTGTAAAAGTGAATTTATTGCCCGGTTGGCTTCTTGTTGTCATCAAACAGAACAGCAACGGCCTTGATGATGAAAAACGAAAATAAATCAGACGAATAATTCGCTGATTTATATCACCACACGTGTTTTTCTTTCCCAAATCAAATAATTACTTATTGTAAGGCGTATTTACAGAAAATAACTGAGGAGCCAGGATGTAAACGAGCGTGATTTAGTGTATTTATATGTCGTCCTAGGAATGCGTGTGTGTGTGTGTGTGTGTGTGTGTGTGTGTGTGTGTGTGTGTACAGAAATTTTTCAGGTTTAAACGCTGCTCTGGAAATACTTGAGCAGAATGTGCGCTGTGTGTGGCCCGGCCTCTATGCTAATCTTAATTATGCACAGACGGGCCGCATGTGTTTATGTGCGAGTCGGGAGGCTGTATACCTGTACAATCAGCAATAATAAACCGCAGCGCACTCTGATGCTCGCCCAAAACTACAAACACAAACGGGGAGAAGCAAACGGAAACGGGGATTAATTAATTCAGCCGTGTTGGTTCAGCTCAGGCTGATTTCAGCTGAGAGGAGAAACCAAACGCAGACGTCTCTCAGGAAGCAGCAAATCAAGAATAAACTAATTTATTCAAGAATCTGGGAAGGAAAAAACGAAGCCAAAACTAAAATCAAAGTCATCACACGACAGACGCAACATTCAGTGTGTTTTAATGGCATTTTATTCGACGGAACTAGTGAATAATTGTAACATGGAAGGAAAATCATGCATTATTTTCTCATTTTTCTACAAATCATAAATCTGAAAAGTGTGCATTTGCATTCAGATCCCTTTATTATGATTTCCCTAAATAGTTCAGCCAGCTGCCTTAAAAAAATTAGTTACAAGCTAAATGTCATTATCAATTTAGTTAGAAAGCTAAATATTTAATTTACAAAATATTTAGCTCCAAAATATATTTTAGTTGGCAAGCTAAATATTTAATTTATAAACTAAATATTTAGTTTCCATGTAATTTTTTAGGACCAAACCAAATATTTAATTTACCAGCTAACTGGATATTTATCAAGCAAGCTACATTGTTAGCTCACAATCTGCATATCGAGAGAAAAGAAAATTACGAACAGGAGACAAGATCAGTAAAACCAGCAGGGGTTCAGATAAAACTTTTATTTTGGTAGTTCTTTTCCTGTTATCAGCCAGTGAATTTGAATATTTGCTAAATGTTTAGCTGTAAACTAAATGTTTAGGTTGGTGCTAATTAATTATGGTAACTAGATATTTAGCTTCGAACAAAATAGTTAATTTAAAGCTAAATATTTACTTTGAAGCTAACCCTGCTAATTGAGCATAAATTTAGCTTTATAAATGAATAACTTAGTGAAAATAAAACTTAAACATTAGAAGTGAAACAACCCAAATTATTGCTGTAAATTTGGAGAGAGGCACCAGCAACCCTCCCGATCCCACTGAGGGACAAGGGTGTAAAGAAAGTGGATGGATGGATGAATTTTTCACTTTAACTTTACAAATAGCTCCCAATTTGTAAAGTTGTTGTTTGACTCTTTTTTTCTGGACTAATTTTTAATGTGGTCCAAATATAAAGTACTAAATTGCACAAATTATCCTCACAAAATGTGATTACTTATTTTTTCCGTTCACTACGACGCTCTCCAGTTGAAATAAGCAGCAAGGTATGAAAATGGAAATAAAACCAGGCGGCGACACACATTACTGCTCCACCTGCACTTGATTCAGTTTTCGTTAAATTTAATCCGCTTACAATAAAACGTGATGAAAACCTACATCTTCAAACGGTTTGTGGATCTCTAAGTCGTCAACAATCACAACCTTCCAAACTCCATAAAAAGATCTCTGGAAAGAACGCAGCTCGACTATTGTTAGCAGTGATTCTCTGAACACACACATGGACTCTCATGCTCAGAACCAGACTGAAACAATTTCAATTTAATGGTATTTTCACAATGTGGGAGCTTGTGAGTAGCTGTGTGTGTCTGTGGAGCAGCCACCTGCATCCCAGAGATGGATGAGAGGAGCTAATTGAAGCCACATGTGGACTCGAGGAATGCTCTAGTCTCTACTGGTGATGAAAGAGAAGAGAGGAGGAAGGAGGGACAGTTAAATGTTTCTTTAATAAAGTTAAAAGACAAAACAAAAAAGATTAAAGCAAAACATGAAGCTGGAAAAACAAAACGTTCACATGAAATTTTTTCCAAGCCTGAAATTTCCACCCAAACGCATCGTAAAGATGGTCATTTCATATTTGAGGCAACAGTCATCTGTTTTTCCCGATGCAGAGTTTGTTCTTACCTTAATTAACATGGAAACAGAAAACACAAAAAGGCTCTTCAAAGTCAAACCCCGACCATCGTTTCATAGATCAGCCTCCTGGGTTGTCTAATTTATAGAAGAAGATGGCGATTCTTGTATTAGTTTCCGAATAAATGCAACATCCACGTTGCAGAAAGACACCATGATGAAGCTTTTATAACAATGTAAAGATAAAGTTTACAGATAATGATCATTTAAGTAGAGCTTTTGTTTGCGCTGCTTAAATTAGAGCAAACACAAGTTTCTATCACAACATTTAGGCTGCTTTCCTATCTGATAGTCCAGTAGATTCGGTTGGATTTTGGACCAAATTGCAACATTTGTTTAATTTCCAGCTGCTGTGGTTCCCCTTCATGCTGCACTGAGTCAAACCAGCCAAACCCTTTGAAAAACCTGTTCCCCTCCTGGCCTGTGGGGGCGCTGCACCAACAACGACTGAAGGAAACGACACAAAAACCTCTGAAGAAGACACTGACCGAAACTTCCTTCTTTACGAAATGGAAACAAAAATGGAGCAGAGTCGCATTTCTCTTTTGTCCAAAGATCACGAGTCATTTCTCCCGCTACCGCTAGGCTAATGGGTTTCTTTTGGTTGTATTTACCCAGAATGCTCTGCACTGCAGTCCACTTCCAGCTTCTAGATTGGTCTCCCGTCCGCTTGCCGTTCACATATGCATTCAAACCAAAAGTCAAATTGGTTTTTTTCTCACAAATTTTTGCCATTTGGATATCAGACATTTCAACATTTTTCTAAAAAATTTCAGAGATTAATCTAAAAATTTTAGCTTTTCAATTTTAATTTACTACTTTTGTTTTTCAGTATACAAGTGACATCGTAAAAATCCAAAGTTGCGCTCAGTGTCTGTGTCGTTTCCTTCAGTGGTTCTTGGCGTAGCGCCCCAGCAGGTTAGGAGGGGAACAGGCTCTTCAAAATGTTTAGGTTTAACTCGCAGTGAGGAAGAGAATCACAGCAGCTGAAAATGTTGCCATTTTGATCCCAATTGATCCGATTATACGGGACGATCAGGTGTGAAAACAGTTTCCTTTTCTAGACTTCAGTAAAGCCGACAATCTCAGCTAGAAACACAATCTGCAGTGCAGAGATGATACAGGTATCAATTTAATGGATATTTTCTATTTTTGGTCTGACATGCTAACTCCATTCAACACAAGGTCTTTTATTCCAATAATCATATCCAAGATTATTTATAGATTTCAAGTGTAAAACTGACAGTTCCTGTATATTTGTGAAATTCTTGTTTTATTATGAATATTTTGAAGGATTCCCAATGTAATGGTGACATTTTAAGTGGAGATGTTGTTTTTTCACTCCATCATTCCCATATAAAGCAATTCCAATCTATGCTGCTTACATGTTGATGTTGTGTCCGTTGTCTAGAGGACTCTCATAAAATCAGTCAAGATGTTGAATTTTCAGTGCTGACTCAAATGGAAATGTTGAAGAAACTGTTTTTGATTTCCTCTAATAGCTTGACGCGGTACATACTGTCCTAATTTACCTCTATTATAAAGGTACAATAAGTTTCAATTCACAATTCAGCCTTTTGTTGTTCTAGAGATCAATAACTTATGACTCTGTTGGAGATTTGGTAGGACCAGCATGTAGTAGATAATAAAGAGGCAATAAAACAAGATAATGATAAGATGAGATAAGATTGGCCTTTATTGTCTCTGTCAGGAGAATCGGACTCTTGTTGTAGCAGAACACAAACACAGTCTAACAGAACTTTACAAGGCCAGAGTACCAGGAACCCAACACTGGGTTGTTACACAATTCCCAACCCACTCCAAGATTTAGAAATGCCATATTATTGTTGTTGTTCAGAACATGAAAACATGGCTTCCAAAAGATTTTGACTTTTACTGCTTAAAGACGATCCGTCTAAATTTAGAACAGGTGGTGGAAATTATTGGAGGCGTTGCCAGTTTTTCACTTTACAGGCAACATTATTGGTTCTGTTATTAATGGGCTATAAATTCCCTTTTTTTGTTAATTTGGTTGTTTATTCAGTAAGGCATAACATAATTGGTGTTTTTAATTGCAGGATTTATAATTTACAACGGCGTGTTGGGGTCATTGTAGGCAGTAAATTTGCTAGAAAAAGTCTGAAATTGAGATTAATTTCTGAAATTTTCAGAGAAAAACATGGAAATTTCTGAGTTTCAAAAGTTTAATATTTTCATTTTCCAAAAATCAGAAATTGTCATGTATTTTCTTGAAATATTTTAAATTTTGTCTCAATTTCTGTGTTTTTTCTAGCCAGTTTTTGACTTTTGAAACTTGGAAATTTCAACTTTTTTCTAGAATGTTTTTGACTATTCAAACTCAAATCTCAGTGTTTTTTCTAGAAAATCCTGAGATTAATCTGTTTATGATTTTTTTCTAGCAAGTTTTTGATTTTTCAAACTCAGAAATCTTGTTTTTCTACACAATTTGAGATTTTTCTGAGCGGGCCTGTACACCTTTTTTCTATCTACAATGCTCTTAATATTGTAATACTATATTAATTAGTTAAAAGTAAATCACATTTTATTTGAAAACCATATATCAACAAAATGAAATTTTCAATTCAGAAACATTTTTGCCTCTACATTTTTAAATAAATAGATAAATGAGCTCAACAACAGAGGCATTGATTTTAATCTGTTATTAAACCACCAGATTGGTGAAAATGCTCCTCCAGCCTTTATAATGTGGTTGTGTGACGCTAACATTAGCTTGGAGACACTTTCTACATATTATCAGTTTTATTTATCATAATCAACCTGACAAACATAATCGAGTGTCCTAACAGCAGAAATAATTGTCTGGTAAATATTTTTTGTCTTTTTTTAATCAGGGATTTAAACTACAACAGCCTGGTTGAGTTTCCTACAGCCATCCGCTCACTCAGCCACCTCAAAGAGCTGTGAGTCTGAACTTTCTGACTAGAAAACATTGTGTGCAAAAGCACCAACTTCAGTTATTTAAAAAATGATGAATCTATTCAGGAAAGAAAAGATAAATATAAAATATAATTTCTCTTGTCTCTGTTTTCAGAGGTTTTCACAGCAACAGCATCCAGTCCATCCCAGAGCGAGCCTTCACTGGGAACCCGTCTCTGATCTCCCTGTAGGTACCAACGACCCAGAAAACGCTTAGCTTCCCATTAGTCATTGGTTTATATTAATAATGGATTTCAGCCCAAATTCACATTGAGGCATCCCTAATTTTTCTTTTATAGCTGGATTTATTAAGAAATTGCATCAAAAAATCTGTTTTTCTGATTTTGTTTAAACTTCTGCCAGAAATATAAAATTTTAGATAAATATCAGAAATTTTATAGAAAAACCTTTTACATTTCTGAGATCCAAAAATTTTTCAAAAAGTCAGAATTTTTCAGATTAATCTCAGAAAATGTGACTTTTGAAACTAAGAAAATTCCCAGAAATGTCTAAGTTTTTGCTAGAAAATTTCTGATTAGTCTCAACATTTCTGAGCTTTTTCTTTCAAATGTTTGACTTTTTTAGCTCAGAAATTTCCTTGTCTTGTTTTTTTTCTAGGGCATTTTTTAGATTAATATTCAACTTTTGAAATTCAGATTTATTTTTATTTTTTAATTCATTTATTTATTTTAGAAAATTTCTGAGATTAATTTCAACATTTCTGAATGTTTTGAGAGAAATGTACTCCTTTTTTCATCTATAATAGACATAACAGTTGTAGTTTATTTGCCTAACAAACAAAAAACATGTTTTTGTTTGACAGATTGTTTTATGACAATCCAATTCAGTCTGTGGGTCGGTCGGCCTTCCAGAACCTTCCAGAGCTTCGGACGCTGTGAGGAAAACACACTCTCACCCAAATCAGTTAAAAAGATTGAATTAGCTTTTAAAAATAAAGTCACAGTTTCTGAGAAGGAAAAAGTGGCAGTAGCTCCAGTAATAAGATGTTTATTTTCACTTCAGTCTGTGTGTGTCGCACATAGCAGTCCACATTTTCAGGGAACGCATTTGCAGAGGAGTGTCATTGTGTGCGTGTGTTGCTAACTGCAGTTAGCCTCGTCTGTGACCAAAACAAATGGCTAAACTTGTCAGGTGTGACTGGTGAGACATCATTCCCAGATCTGTCCTCCAAAAACAATAAATAAATGTGAAAATTATCTAAGCTGTTCGTCCAAATTCTGCTGGATTAGCTCAATATTAGCGCAGTGACTGGGAGTTAGCAGGCATTAGCTGCTAGCACATCAGGTGGTGCTAATCTGAGGCTATGTTTTGTTTTAGCATAGTTCTTTTTCTAAACTAAAGTATGTATAATAGTTGGGAAACTTTAGATTTTAAATGTTTCTACAGAAAACTGTTTTGCTTCCCTTCAAAAAAGAGCGGAGAAACAAAATAAATTAATTTTGTTACATTATGCACAAACTACGGCCATATTGGATTTTCAGTTTGACTTTCCAAGTCAGAATTTTGACCTGTGGGGGATTTAAATTAATTTCTTCTGTCCCTCTTATTCAGAAACTTTAGTCCAAAGTAGGACAAAAAGTGAAAATGTGGCTTTGGGTTTAGCTGAACGAGTGACATTCCTTTTGCCCCGACTAGAGACGCAGTACTTCAACATTTTCTACACGAGAGTGAAAAATATTTAGTTAAAAGTCTACTCAAGTTCTGAATAGTATCAATAATTTAATATTTAAAAGTATAAAGTTAAGTGGAAATTTTGGTATTTTAAGGATAAAAATGACAATAATTCATACAAGTAACAAAAAATAACACATTTTTTCCATATCAGTTTCTTTCAGTAAAAAACTAATGAAACTTTAACAAAAGCTGCAGGTGTGTGTCTGTCTGGTGAATGTTTGGTTTGTTTTTCATTCAAATCCACAAATTTTACTGAAGTAATATAGAAATACTTCATAATATCATTACTCACTTGTTTTTTCCTAAAAGTAGTTTAAGTAAATGTAACTAGTTACTAACCAACTCTGCCCCCTACTGGCCATAAAAATAGAAACCAGGTTGATAATAGTTTGTGATCAAAGTGTTTTCTTCTTCTATGCATCAATATTTTTTTTAAAGTCTAGATTGAATTTCTCTTTGCACTGCCAGAGGATCCCGTCGAATTTATTTTCCTTTCACTCTCAGATGAGAAGTGAAGGTCGGCTTAGGGTGACTCGGTATTTAGCTTGAGCCTCATTAAATCAGGTGCTAATTACACAAAGAATGTAACGCTCAAACTGAACGCCGGCGGCCAGAACATTTTCTGTTTCCTAAACGTAAATCCGCTTCTTTCAGCTTGAACTCTGCCTGGTTTTCTCCCAGATCTCTGAACGGTGCGGCAGAACTCGCAGAGTTTCCAGATCTGTCGGGAACCAAGGGTCTGGAGAGCCTGTAAGACGCGCACACACCCTCACAGAGGAATGTTTCATATCTGTTTGCTGTTGCAGCATCTCTTGACTGTGTGTTTTCAGAGCTGAACTCCAAATCAAACTGTTGTTATTAAAAACTGCAGTTATTATCCCATCTGGCAGGCTGTAGCTTTATTATTTCTGCAGCTCAGCCTGAAATTAAAAAGCCCTTTTGTCCTCCCTTTGCTAAGCCAAATTTCCAAGTGATAATAAACACGTTTGCAGAGTTTATTTTCTTGTATTTTTCCATCTAAAGTCATTTCTGAAGGTTGTATGTGTTCAGCTGTAACCAGTAGGTGGAAATGCAAACGGCAACCAAACAAAACGTCCCACGTTTTTCCACTGTCTGCCTTTAAAATGACCTTCAGTGTCTTTCAGCCCCAGTCTGACCCAGTTCCATTAAATGATCCCAGAATGTTGTTATAACTCATTTTGTCTGATCAACAGGGCTGTGAACAAGTGTTGGTCCTTCACAGATTTATTTTCATTTCTTGTCACACCTAAAAGTTTTGAGCAAATTGAATAAATGGAACAAAATGAAAATGTCTTTTATTAGAATAAACTTCACTTGTCGTTATGGGAAAACCCTGAAATGTGGCTGAATTAAAAATTTCCGGCTGAATTTCATTAGTAGCAAAGACTCAAAATGTTTTCTGAGTATTTCCAGAAGGAAGTATTTGTAAAAAATACTCGTTAAAGGAAACGGTTCCTGATTCCCAATTTGATTCCCCGACATAAATTAACATTTTTAAAATGTTAATTATATAATTTTTACTGTACATATTAGTTGATGTCATCAGTGATTGGTGTTTTTCAAAAATACTTGATTTATCCCAAAGAAAATGTAATTTTGTCGTAACTCGTATCATCCAGGTAAAGAATCGCTTTGGGTTTCTGTAGCAGTCGGTGTTTCAACCAGCCTGTTGAAGCCTCTGACTGAAGACTGTTGCTGAATATCCGGGCAGCAGAGATGATGGCATCAGTTGTTGGCAAACTCTGCTAATCCACCTCATTTGCTTTTGCCACTTCTGTTTGAATATCTGCCTGGCTGTTTGGTTACAAAGTCTAGCAACACCTCAACCAAAAATTATGAACCAAGTCAGATGCAACGTGACGGAGCTTCTCCAACATGATGATAGTTTCAGGCTATTGAAGATGATTGCAAGACTTTGAGCATGACTAGCTGAGAAAAGGACCGAGATAAAGTGAAAAAGCAGCCAAAGTCCAATGATAAATCTTTAAAATCATGTTTTAAGTTAGAAGAGCTGCAGTCCAGTATGTTTTTAGACACCTGCTGGTCAATAGGACATCCAGATGGGGTCTAGAACTGCAGCATGTTCCGTTTCGGTTTAAAATGCTGGTTTAGTGTCTTCAGGAACAGAACTTTACAGCTGCAGCTCCTGCTCTCTCAAACAGATGTGACACATTTCCCTTTGGGCTTTCAGGACCATCACTGGAGCTCGGATCACGTCTCTTCCCAGTTCGATGTGTGAGCAGCTTCCAAACCTTCAGCTGCTGTAAGTCTTCTCATCATCTCCACACCAACCGGTCCGTTATCGTCCCAACACTCATCGTTTAGCTGATCCTGTTGAAGAACAAACCTCTCCACCGTAATGTGCAGCAAGCTGCTGCGTTTAAGGACCGTTGGACGTCCCTGACAGCTGCTGATGGCTGAAACTGTGTTTGTGTCTGCAGCGACCTCTCGTATAACAAGATCCAGACTCTTCCAAGCTTCACTGGCTGTGAAAGCATCCAGAAGATGTGAGGTTTATCTTCATTTCCTTTTAATGAAAGAGTTTATCTCTCTTATCTGGGCAAGGAACAACTTTTGTCAACCTCTGAGACCTGTACAGCACATTTATCAAGTCTCTGGTTACCTTAGCAACCAGTAAAACACATCCAGCTGGGCATCATGGGAGCAATTAGCAGTAGTGTTGTCTGTTTAAGACCAATCAGAAGCCAGGAAAACGCTTTAAAGTAGAAAATTTTAAAGTGATGCAATGGAAACAGTGTGGCTGATCTTTGTGTTGCAGTGATCTCCACCATAACGAGATAGAGGAGCTGAGGGAGAACACCTTCACCGGCCTGATGACCCTTCGCTCGCTGTAAGAACACACACTGTGAAGATTTAATTAGTCTTCAGATCCTGACCCATGAACCCAACTTAACCTCCTTAAGTACTTCCAAATGGACCCGCTGATCAAGGTGGTCTGCTTGTCATTGGAGCAGCTGCCATGAAGTCAGTGAGGGAGGAGAGGAACGACTGCTGCTGCTGCTCCGTCTGTCCTAAATGAATTCAAGGCTCTCCGTTTCAGGAAAAGCAATGCAAATGAGCAAAAAGATAATAGAATAGAAAAATTCCAAACTGACAAAATACTCTGACGATAAAACATCGTATGGAGGAAATATGAAGCAGATTTGTGCAGCCACCACACCTGTAAAACATTTCAAATGAAATTTTAAATGTGTTGAATGAAACAAACCAAAAACAAGTGAGAGAGGGCTGATGGAGAGGTGGGCCGTTCTCAAATCATTCTGCCAACAAACGGATTAAAGGTGTGGTAGTTACAGACTGGGTGTCAGGTTGGGTATGCCAGGGGAATGAAGACCAGAGGATGTGAAGACTGGAGGGATGGCAGGAAGTGACCGAGGCTTTAAAGGCTGGAAGCAGGGGACCAGCACTCGGGAGACTTATAGAGTGACCCAGACTCTAAAAGCTCATGGAGTGACCGGTGCACTGAAGACTCAAACAGTGACCAACGACTTGAGGAGCAGGTGAAGTCTAAAGGAGAAGCATGAGGGGCTCCTGAAGCAGACTGCAGGAAGGAAGGCTCTGTTGATTGAAGAAGACTGTTCTCATGATGATGATGTGTCCACTGAAGAGGATGCCACCAGTGACAAGAGGCAAAATGATGCTGGTGATACAAGAGATGGAGATGTTACCTCAACCCGCTACAGCCCCAGAAAACGTTGGAGAAGTTGTACGATGCAGCCATGGGACAGACGTATGCTTTTCAGAAGGACATGTTGATCCTGTGCTGCTCACTTCATGCAGCCTGAACGGAGCCACAGCTGAGAACTGTTTTCAAATCATATTTTAAAGAAACTAGGAGAAAGCTGAAAGTGTTTGTTGTGACGGGGGGAAGGACAAAGACCTTTGAACTGTTCTCCAACCATAAATCCTCATTCTTGTGTTAGCTTTAGTTAGCTTTGTGTGATGTTGATATTTTATCCCTTTTGTAGAGATTTATCCTGGAACCGGTTGTCATCTGTGAAGCCAAACTCATTCTTTGCTCTGACGTCTCTCTCCAAACTGTGAGTTTTTCTGCAACACCAGAGACTCTTTTTACAAACCTGATGCATTTAGATCCTTAATAAATCAGAAGATTTTGCCTCAGGCCCTCTCAGGAGGTTCAACTGCCCTTGTTAGTAGCACTAAGCAGTAAAATCTGATTACTGATGATGGAAATACTTTGGTGTGAACAACTGGGGCATTTTCTGTGTCTGCAGTGACCTGTCGTCCAATCAGCTGTCCTCTCTGCCTCTTACTGGTCTGCAGAGTTTAACTCACATTCGGCTGGTGGGAAACGATCAGCTGATGGAGTTAATACCCCGAGAAGATCTGCCACGAGTCAGGTGAGGTCCCTAGATTCTCCTTAGCCTGTTTTTTTCTGTCCACTCTGCAGTTTCTAGGAATAAATGCTAAGAGTTGTGTCTCCTCAGGGTGATGGAGCTTCCCTACGCCTTCCAGTGCTGTGCCTTCATCTCCTGTGAGAAGAGAGGAGAAGGAGGATTATCCTGGGAAAGAGAAGAGGCAGCAGACTCCACAGCGAGAGACGCTCCTTTCCTTTCCAGTCAAGGTAAACGCCAGAAGAAACGCCTCAAAGTTCCTGAAGCAAAGAACCAAAAGAAAACATTAAATGGGAGACAGAAACGAGGAAAAAAACACGAAAAAGACAGAGTACGACGCCGGTAGAAAACAATGAGTACATTTGCAACTTTTGAAACTCAGAACTTTCTGCATTTTTTTCCACTGGAAAATTTATGAGATTAATCGCAAAATTTTTCTTGAAAAAAGAACCCAAAATTTCTGAGCTCCAAAAGTTAAACATTTTAGAGACAAATTCAGTCCTTTGAACCTAATCTCAGAAACTTTCTAGGAAAAAACATAAAAAATGTTTGAGTTTCAAAAGTCAAAAATGTTTGATGAATTTTTAACAACAGTTTTTGAGTTTTGAAACTTTCCAAATTTATTTCTGGAAAATTTCTGAGATTAATCTTATAAGTTATGTGATTTTGTTTTTAGAAAGTTTTTTTATTTTTCAAACCCACAAATTTCCATGATTTCTAGAATTTTTTTTATGTTATTTGCTTCTGTTTTTTCCGTCTACAGTGGACCTAATTTGCCCTCGTAAGTGTGACTACAAAGCTGAAATGAAACAAAAATAAATCAATCAAAATCAAACAATATGGATCAATTTAATTTATACATCCTGAAGAGTCTTTAACACTTTGAGTTCAGAGGTTCTCAATAAAAGTGGCTTTGATTGACCTCACTTCATTGTTTTTTTGGAAATTTGGTTTTAATAGAATTATCCAGCACAAAAACACACTTGGTAAGTAATTTATTTATTTTACAAACAGCATTTTTCTTCTGGTTTGTTTGTGTTCAGTGGACCAGGACTGGGACGATTTTCTGATGGAGTTTGAGGACGAACCAAAACCTCAACACTCTGTTCACTGCAGCCCAACTCCAGGTAGCAAAATGTCTCTTTGTTTTTACAAGTTACAAACACACAATATATATGTATATATATATATATATATAAAAATAAATTCCCTTCTCACC